TTCTGCTAATTGTGTTTTAAGCTAGTTACACATAAGTCTAATGTGTACTTGCTGTATAGGCACTGTGAGCTTTGAACTTATGTGCTCTTTTGTGATAATGAAAGTCATTTCATTTCCAGTGTGAAACTTTTGAGGATCTCTTATAGGGGTGATTGAGTGGTGACAGATTCCTTTTAATGTTTGTATATCTGAGAGGGACTTTATTTTTCCTTTGTGTATGAAATTTTAGTTTGATTGGATACAGGATTCTTGGGGCATTTTTTTTTTTTCTTTAAGGAGGTTGAAAATAGGTCCCTATTCTCTTCTGACTTGTAGAGTTTCTGGTGAGAAGTCTGCTGTTAGTCTAATGTCCTTTTCTTTATAAGTGATTTGCTGCTTCTCTCTTGCTGCTCCTAGGATATTTTCTTTCACATTGACTTTGGAGAATCTGACAGTGGTATGCTTTGATGAGTTTTTCTGTGATATATCTTGCAGGGTTCCTTTGGGCTTCTTGTTTCTGGATGTCTAGGTTTCTTTCGAGACCAAGGAAGTTTTCTCGAATTATTTCCTTGAATATATTTTCCACACTTTTTCTTTAGCTTCTTCTCCCTCTGGAATGCCTATGATTTATAGGTTTGGTTGCTTTACATAATCTCATAGATCTTGTAGGCTTTGCTCATTCTTCTTGATTCTTTTTTGATTTGTTTTTGTCTGACTGGATTAGTTTGAAGAGCCTGTCTTCTGTTGCTGAGATTCCTCTGCTTGTTCTAGCCTATTGCTATACTTTTGTACTGTGTTTTGCATCTCCTCCAATGTGTTTTTTTAGTTCTGTTTAGTTTTTTTAAGTTGTCAAACTCTCCTTTTACCTCCTGCGTTGTTCTGCTAATTTCTTTTAGTTGGTTATTAGTATTATCTTGCATCTCATTGAGCTTCTTTATAGTCAATATTTTGAGTTCATTTTATGACATTTCAGGAATTTCACTGTGGTTAGTTTTTCTTATTTTAGAGTTGGTGAACTCCTTTAAAGGGGTAAGGCTCTGTTTTTTTTCATGTTTTCAGAGTTGTTTCTCTGATTCTTTCTCATTTAGATGAACTATGGTTTCTAATCTGTATACATTCCTTTGATATAGGTGGCCTGCCTGTGTATGTAGTCTTTCCTAGGTGTTAGTTGTAATGGCGATGTAGTGGGAGGATGAGTTGGCCCACTGCTTCCTGTGAGTCTAGGGTGATAGAAGCTTCAGGAGGCTTAACTTGCTTCTGGGTGGTGTATGTTGATGTGAGTTAATTACCTGTTGTGGTGCATCATTCAACCTTCAGGCCAGTAAGTGGCACCTATAGGTATGAGTGGGCTACTGTTGATGTGGATGGGTATTTACGTGATACTTATTTAGTGGAAGAAGCACTCTTGTCTCAGCTGTGAGCTTGTGTGCCCAGTACACTGTGGTCTGTGTTTCCAGTTCAGCCTCAGGGAGAGGAAAACCAAAATGGGTAGGACCAAACTGGGCAGAGCCCACCCTACAGGTCCACTGATGTTGGGCACAGGCACCCTGTCTGAGGCTGGGTCTAGTGTGTGACCTCTTGATTGCCTAGAAGTGTGCCTTGGTGAGGTGTTGGGTGATCTCTGCTGCCTCAGGTTAGTTCTCTGCTCAAGAAGGGAAGGGTGGCCTAAGCTCCTCATCTAGAAGAGTGGGAGCTCCAGGTACCTGGGAATGTCTGGGCATTGAGCATAGATAGCAGCCCAGTACCAAGGACCCTGCCCCCAGGTGGCTCAGGCTCCTACTCTAGGTGGTTGGGTGAGGTAGGGTGTGGATTACAGGAGGCCTCATTGCACGTGGATTGTTGCCCAAGAAGGATGGGACAGTATAGGTTACAAATCTGGGTGTGTGGAGATGGGGGCCATCAGACCCTTGGTACTGGGGTGGGACACTTCCCTGACAGACTTGAAGGGCAGGCTGTGGTGTCCCACCATGATACCTGTAGTTTGATGCTGGGTCATGGAGCTGGCCTTGGTTTCAGGGCTCCCTACCCAGGAGAAACTACAGGGTCAGGAACTCTCCTGTCACGCAGGCTGCAGAGTGAGAACCCTCCTGCTGGTCTCCTGTAGCTTTTAGTCTGCTTTCCCAGTTGTGCAAGAGCGAGTAGCCTTCCTCTTCCTCAGTATTACTGGGGCATGCCACCCCCCCCCACCCCCCGCTAGTCTGGGAAGGAGGCTAGGATTCTTAACAGTGGTACTCACTGAAGAATTTCAGGTTGCAAAACTGACGTAGGCTGTAGGACTCACTGATCATTAGTAACCATGGCTGTGGCATCTCTCCTGCTCAGGATGCACGTTCTAGAGCTTGGGAGTGGGGCCTTCTGCTAGGCTCTTGTTATTTAGGTTGATATTCTGGGTTTTCCTTGATATTGCTGAGGCCCCTTGCCACCACTGCCTGTAGGGGTGAGGGAAGGTGGGGTGTCTAGGCAATGATACACAGAGACCAATTCTGGATCGAAGATCTGACCCTGGCAGCCTGTCTCTTCAGGAAGGAAACACAGCTTTGGGGCGGGGGGTCTCCCACTGCTCCCAGCTACAGGTAGGAATGAGCCCAGATCCAGTCTCAAGCCCTGGGCAAACTCCTTGCTCACACTTTGAACCAGGTGTGGGAAGCCCCTCCACTGCTTCAGAGTGAGCAGCCTTGTCTGTGGGCAGAAACCCAAGTGCCTGCAGAAGCCACTGTTGGTGCAACAATGGGCCCCAATAAAAAAGGGTGTCTTTCTCAGTGACTCAGCTTTGGTATAGTATAGTACCTGTAGCTTTTCTGGGTGTCTTTCCCTCTCAGCAACTCTCAGCCTCCCCAGAAACAGCTCCATGGCCCAGTAGAAACGGGGTGTTGTCCTGTGGCCTGAGTTGTTCAAATACCTGATTAGAAGGTATGTCCCAGAGGGGAGTTTTCAGTCCTGTCCTGTGGTTTGGTGATTGCACTCACTTTTTTCTGTGGAGTGCTGTCACAGGGGCTTTTTGCTTGTCCTCTCCTTCCTGAGGTCTGCCATTCTGATGAATATCTGTTTCTCTTCTTGGAAAACACTGTTTTACTCTGTTCTGATGGGTGAGGCATGCTTGGAAGTCTCTAATCCACCATCTTGGGGGACAAAACACACACACACACACACACACACACACACACACACACACACACACAACAGCAATAACTTCTTTCTTTCTTTATGCAGATCTGAGTTTTTGACCTATATCATTTTCTTTCTTTCTGAAGAACTTCTTTTAACATATTGGCAATAAAGTTTCTCCTTTTTTTTTTTTTAATCTGAGAAAGTCTTCATTTCTTCACTTTTGAGGAGATAATTTTGCAAGGTATAGGAATTCTTATGTTGGTGTTTTTTTTCCCCCCTGAACATACTAATTTCACTCCACTTTCTTCTAACTTGCATGGTTTTTAAGGAGAAGTTGGATGTAATTCTTATCTTTGCTTTTCTACAGGTAAGATGTTTTTTTCTTCTCACTTCTTTTGAGATTTCTTTTCTTATCTTTGATTTTCTGAAGTTTAAGTATGATATCCATAGGTGTGGGATTTTTTTTAATTTTTTTTTTTCTTCTTGCTGTTCTCTGAGCTTCCTGGATTTGGTGTCTTGATATTAATTTGGTGAAATTCTCAATCACTATTGCTTCAAATATTACTTCTGTTCCTTTCTCTGTTTCATTTCCTTTCAATGATACCATTACATGTATTGATACTTTTTGTAGTTGCTTTACAGTTTTTGGATATTCTTTTTTTTTCTCCCAGTTTTTTTCTCTGTGTCTTTCAGTTTTAGTATTTTCTCTTATAATATCTTTGCTTAGTTGTATTCAGTTTCCTAATGAACCCACCAAAGGCAATTCTTCATTTTTATTAGTCTGTTTGATTTCTAGCATTTCCTATTGCTTCTTTCTTAGCATTTTTATATCTCTGCTATCATTATTCATCTGTTCTTACATGTTGTTTGTTTTTTCCATTAGAACCTTGGGCGTGTTCATTGTAGTTATTGCAGATTTCTGTTACAATAGTTTCAACATCTTTACCATGTCTCATTCTGATGTTTATGCTTGTTCAATCTCTTCAAACTGTGTTTTTGCTTTTTAGTATGCCTTGTAATTTTTTGTTGAAGTCAGTACATGATGGATGTACTGTACTAGGTGAAAGAAACTCTGGTAAATAGGCCCAAAGTAGTATGGTGGTGTAGTGTGGGGGGAGAACAAGTGTTCTCTATTCCCATGACTTGGTTTCAGTCTTCTGGTTGAGACTGTGAACTTCACAATCGCTTCTTGCTTTTTCCCCAGACCTCTTTAGGCAGAACAGGATGGCTATAGGGAGCAGGAGTTGAGTATTCCCTTCCTTTATGTGGAAGGCTAGAGCCAGCTAGAGTTGGGTACTTACTTCCCTTAAGCAGGTTAGACTCTGATAAAACCCTAGCAGGCTAGGCTCTGGTAAAATGTTTACCTGGTTAAGCTCCTGGAGGTAAGACTCAAAAAGTATGGGGATCCCTGCTCCCCTGCAATGACTGGGCTCCCCTGGAGTTTTTCTCTCTCAGACTTGTCCACACTGAGCCTCCAGCAATTTGTTAATTGCATCTAAGGTTTTCCATCTCAGCACTGGTTCCTGCAGATGTTTCTCCTCTAGTAAATTGTGATTCTCTGTGTTTGCCTGTCTGTGCCTTCAGTTTTGGAAGCAAAGGTTTGCCTTGTTACATCTTTTGTCTGAAAGATTGGAGAAAAGTTGTTAATTTTTCAGTTCAGCTTTTTATTTGTGTTAGTAGAGTGATGACTTCTAAAAGTGTTCTTTTTGAGTACAGGCGACTTTATTGGTGGTGTGTGATGAGGTGGGTCTTCCTAGGCTCCCCCACCCTGATTTTTCAGTGGATCTGGCATGGACACTGTGAGAAGGGGGAATTCTCAGTGTGGTCAGGGACTGAGGGTGGCAGGGTTTCCTCAGCTGCTGAGGGCTTCTCTGTCTCTCGTGCTCTCACTGGGGCTGGTGGTCTGGGGGCTCTTAATCCTTGGAGGCCATGTGGACCATGAGATCCACCACCCTTTTGCTGTAGCCAAATTCATTGTCATACCAGGAAATGAGCTTAGCAAAGCGGTCATTGAGGGCCATGCCAGCCCCAGAATTAAGGGTGGAAGAGTGGGTGTCACTGTTAAAGTCGGAGGACACAACTATGTGCTCAGGGTAACCCAGGATACCCTTGAGGGGCCCTCAAATGCTTGCTGCACCACCTTCTTGATGTCATCATATTTGGCAGGTTTCTCCAAATGGCAGTTCAGGTCCACAATGGACACATTGGCTGTGGGGACACAGAAGGCCATGCTCGTGAGCTTCCCATGCTGCTCGAGGATGACCCTACTCACAGCCTTGGCAGTGCCAGTGGATACAGGGATGATGTTCTGGAAAGCCCTACACCCGTTGTGCCACAGCTTCCCCCAGAGGGGCCTTCCACAGTCTTCTGGGTGGCAGAGATGGCCTGGACGGTGGCCATGAGTCCCTCCACAATGCCAAAGTTTTTGTGATTGACTTTGGCCAGGTGGTCTAAGCAGTTGGTGGTGCAAGAGGCAGGCATTGCTCACAATGAAGAGGTTTTTCTGGTACTTCTTGTGGTTCATGCCCATCACAAACATGGGGGCATGAGCGGAGGGGGCGGTGATGATGATCCCTTTAGCTCCTGCATAAGTGAGCCCCAACCTTCTCTAAGGTATTGAAGATGATGATGGACCCCACTACATAATCAGCGCTGGTGTCATCCCAGTTGATTTTGGTGGGATCTCGCTCCTGGAAGATGGTGATGGAATTTCCATTGATGACAAAAAAAAAAAAAAAAAATCTTCCTGTTCTTGGCCTTGATGGTGCCATGGAATTTGCTGTGAGTGGAGTCATCTTGGAACATGTAGATCACGTAGTTGAGGTCAATGAAGGGGTCATTGATGGCGACATTATTTACTTTGCCAGAGTTAGAAGCAGCCCTGGTGACCAGATGCCCAATACGACCCAATCCGTTCACTCTGGACTTCACCTTTGCCATGGTGTCTCAAGGACACAGCTGGTGCTATACGAGAGATGTGGCTGTCTGTCAAACGGGAGGAGCAGAGAGCCACTTCTAAGCTTCTTAAATACTGAACTGGAAACCAAGAGTCTCCCAGATAGGATTTTAGTAGATGGAAGAGCAGAAAGATGTCATTCCAGAGTAAGAGAATGCCATAAACAAAGTAATGATCATGTTTTGTGGCCTAGTGAAGCAAGGAACTTGCCTAGACTAACAGCATGGTAGAAATAATGACCAAAAGTTTGGGTATGTTAGGTGTAACAGATTTTGGATGCTCTTGAACATCTTGGACTACTGGGGAGACACTCAAACTGTTGAGTAGAGGAGACAGAAATTTGTTCAAAGAATCATTGAATCTTAGGTATGGAGGAGTCCTTAAGGATCACGTAGTCCTATCTCAATTTTAAGATATGAAAACAGAAATGCAGAATAGTTAAAAAAAAAAAACTTATCGACATTTTCATATCTATTTAAGGGCAAAACCCAAATTAGAATCAGAACTATCCTGCTGTGGTACTCTTTCTACAACACATATTAATATTGATGTTACAGACAAGATTCTAAGTTGTGGACCACCCTCCAGCTCACTGATCACACAGCACAATTTCTACTTTCCCTGGGCATACTATTGTGTTCATCACATTGAAATCATGTAATCATTCTCGCATAGATAAGGCCTTTCTCACTTAGTTGAATAGGTATGTTGTTAATGATACTGCCTTGAGGTGTTTGAGAAGCATATTGTGTTTAGTTAATAACATTCGGAGAAGTCAGAAGTCCAGTTGGTGCACAGTTTTAGGAGGGTAAACCCAACCTGATTAAAAGTCTAACTGCAGCTCTGGATTTATCTTTTAAGGTAGTTTTGTTGGTAGTAGCATGATGAAAAGAACGTGTACTTCAGAGTTAGACAAAATGACTTTGAATTCTGGATCTGTCAGTTATAAGCTTTGTGACCCTGAGCAAGATACTATTAATTTTTCTGAGCCTTGCTTCTTTATTTGTTAACCGGCAGTATGCTAATTATAGGATTATTGTGACAGTCAAGTGAAAAATATATATACTATATTTAATTGATTCTAAGATCCAGATTTTTTCGCATTTAAAGTCTCTGAAAAAAATAAAATAAAATAAAATAAATAAAGTATCTGACATTAGGATTGTGTTACAGTTTGATACAGTTTTAGCATTATGTCATATTTTCATTGACTTTTTTCTTTCTTAGTGTCATATAAAATAATGGTGCATATTATCATCAGTGGTGTCAGTCAGCTCTACGTTAACATAGATGCAAAAGTCCTAAACAAAATAATACAAAGTTAATCCAGCATAATATAAAAAGGGATAATACATTGTGACTAAGTGAGGTCAGGAATTCAAGTTCACTAACATTCAAAGAGCTTAATTGATGTAAATTATCACATTGACAAAATAAAGGAAAAACTCCATCTGATCATTTTATAAATGTAGAAAACAATCATTTGATAAAATTCAAGAGCCATTGTTGAGAGTACCGGCCAAAAGAGGACTAGAAGGGAATGTCTGCCATTAAATAAAGGGTATTTTTGAAAAACCTACAGCTAACATTATGGTTAATGGTGAAACACTGAATGCTTTGCCTTAAGATTTTACCACTTGTATTCAGAAGTATACTAGACAATGCAAAATAAAACAAAGGCATAAAAATCAGGAAAAAACTTGTCTTTTTCTAGATATGACATGGTTGTATACTCAGGAAATCCAGAGGAATCTACAAGCTACTGAACTAATAAGTGAATTTAGCATGGTTGTAGGATATAACAACCTGTTTGGCTTCTAAGAATATTTAGATTTTTACTTTGTTAGTGTGGTCTTGAATGGATGGTGGTCTTTTGTGACCTTCTATAACATAACTGAAGTGGAATACAGCTATTGATTTTATTATGTATATTTTGTAATTATCCACCTTTCTGGATTCTGTAATTACTTTGCATATTTCTAGCTGATTCTCAAGTTTTCCAGATATAAAATCCTATCACTTCCAAATGTGTATTTCAGACCGAAGTCCATATTGTGATCTTCACATAAGAGGACAGTATCAGGAGTATATTTAGTTTAATATGAAAGAAAGCTCCACTAGCATAACTTAAAGATGAGGGTACAGGTGAGTCACTAGGGCAGCTGTGGAGACTGGTGATGCTCCAGGGAAGCAGACTTCCTTCTGGATTTCTGCTCTGTCTCCCTCATGCTAGCTTTTTTTTTTGGTTACAGCATACCTGTGTCACCTCCACCTGACCATGTCTGCATTCCACACAGGCATAAGTGAGAGGACCAAGGGGAAAAACCAAAAGGCGTGTTGTAACAAGACTTCATCCTTTTATTTAGGGATGTCACTCCCCAGGGACTATGTTGTCTTGTCCAGTACAATGACATATTGTCATCTTTTGCTGCAAGAAAGCCAAGAAATTTAATATTTTAAGTTGGTTTTGTTAGTAAAGATGAAGGAGGTAACATCCTTTGGGGAGGCAAATGATAGTCTATTACAGGGACCAAGACTACTCTGGATGGGGGTGAAAAGTTTGGGTAATGGGAAAAGCACTGCTACTGGTGAGGTGTGTGTGTATGTGTACACGCGTGTGAGCGCAGAAAATCTCACTGAGTATTGCTAGGGTGTAAGAGTTTGGACTTTTGTTTTAGTTATTGAGAAAATATTTTGTAGCTGGCTAATTTACTGAATAGGCAGCTCACATAAGTTTTTAGTTGGTTCTTTAGGGTTTCCTTCATAGCCAGTCTATGGAAAGCTCTTGGATTTATTTTCAAATTTCTTTCTTTTTTGTTTGTTTATTACTCATTAATTACTTATACTTTTTTAAGGTCTATTTTATTCTTTTTCACATTAAATTGGATGCTTATTTTGTGTGTTTATTCTGTGTATACATCAGAGTAAAGCTACAGTGTGAGACTAGAAGCAGTTGGATTTTTAGAAAAATTGGGGGTTCAGGAGATTTCATCTCTAAGACTTTTTACAAAAAGATGCTACATGCTTTCCTCTTAAATAGATGAGACATAGTATCTGGCTTTAACTTAATAATTAAGGCAAATGTCAGATTTCTTATGTCAGTGAAATGATTATGAGGAAATGAAACATTTAAATATTTTCTACCAGCCACACATCCCCATAAATCTAAGGATTTTAATATAATGCCATTCTGTATACAAACAAAGTAGGCTGAATATTTGTAAGCCAGGTGCTGTGGCATGCACTCACAGTCTCAGCTACTTGGAAGGTTGAGGTAGGAGCATTGCTTGAGCCTGAGTTTGAGGCAATAGTGTGCAATGATCATACCTGCGAATAGCCACTGCACACCAGTCTGGGCAACATAGTAAGACCCTGACACGTAAAAAAAACTTGTAATATTCAGTGAGTACAGTTTCTTAGGTTTTAGTTCTTCAAAATATACTGAAAATAATGTACTAAATTCTTTGACATTATTTCTTCCGGGAAGTAGAGCCCCTTCAGCATGGATTGAACACAGTGACTTGCTTCTAAGGAATAGAATATGGAATGGTAACAGTAGTAACTTGATGGCAATGGGGAAACCTGGCAGACCTCACATTACCATGCGAGCAGGGTTGACATTACCTGTAGTAATCATATTGAAGGTATGTATCCCCTGACATGATGTGAAGAGAAGGGTACTTCACCTCTGTAATATTTTCCAAAAGTCCATAACCTCAATCTAATAATTAGAAAACAAAACACAAACCCAAATCTAGGGATGTTCTGTGAGATTCTAGTATTTGAAATGATCAAGGTCATGAAAGACAAGGAAAGACTGAGAAACTGTCACTGATTTTATACTAAGCAGACATGACAAGTAAATGCGGTACAGTGTCCTAGATTAGCTCCTGGAACAGAAGGAGGACCTTAGAAAGAGATGCGGAGTGTCTAGAGAAGAAGAGAAGTCTGAGTTTAGTCAATAGAATTGTGCCATATTAACCTCTTAGTTTTGATCATTGTGCCATAGTGATAGAACGGGTATTCGGGATATTTGGAAACTCTCTTTACTACCATTGCACCTGTTCTATCAATCTGAAACGATTTCAAAACAAAAAATTAAAAGGAAAGCAATGACCATTTTCTATGGCAAAGACAAAAAAAATTGCACCTACCAATTGTAAAGTGCACTCTGTTACTGTTGGGTTGGTGTGACTTGGTGTAAACTTCCAGTGAAAGCCATAAAGTGCCATGTTCAAATGATTGAGAGGTGAGGATGGTGGGGCTAGGGGAAAAAGAAGAGAAAAGTCTTTCCAGGGATATCAGACTCTTAGGAGGAGGCGTGTGGAGAAGGCAAATAAAATCAAATAGCTTCATGAGCGAGGAAGTGAAAAAAAGCACACCCTCATTTTATGTGGTAAGGTATTTCAAATGTAACTGAATTAGCAAGATAATATTTTATAGTAGAGGAAAAAGATGGTATGCTGGTAAACCCCAGGTATATTAGCCCGTTTTGCTTCAGAACTCTTTCTGTTTTAAAGCAGGCACGTTCTACTTATGGTTGCTTATTGACTCCCTGAGTTAAAGGTACATTAGGTGCTCGTGAAGTTTCTCTGCTCCTCTAGAGAAACTGCTGACATGGTCATGGTACATATTTACAAAACCTCTAGTCTGTGGGAAGTGCCTTGAGGGGCTTTGTTGATGGTTTTTTCCACTCTCAAATTTTATGTTGAGAATTTCAAAGTTGTCATGTAATGCTTATGTTTATAAAAATGGAGTAAGCACCAAAAAAAATCTTGCTTACAGTAATTCTCAACTAAAAATAAGGATGCCTGGAGTATAATCTTACCTCGTCGTTCAGTTTTTTCGTCCATCAAATAAAGATGATCAGAGCCTGTCTCTGGAGCCTCCAGATTGCCGTGAGGTTATCAGGGAGCGGCATTGGGCTACCAGTTCTTGAGCTGTCACCTTTACAGCAGTGATGCGCAACAGACCAGTGTAGCACTGA